TTCCAAGATGAAGAGGAAGCATTGGTGAGCACCCTCTGGGTTCATCCATTTAACCAATTACAGATCCACCTCTCCGTAGTTTTGCCTAGCCCACATTGGACTAGTTTCCTTGTCAGAAGGTCATGGGGGACCTTTTCGAAGGCCTTACTGAAATCCAGGTATGCTACATCCACGGCATTCCCCTCATTTACCCAGCTTGTAACTCTATCGAAAAAAGAGATCAGATTAGTCTGGCATGACTTGTTTTTGATAAATCCATGTTGACTATTAGCAATGACCGCATTTGTTTCTAAGTGTTTGCAGACCACTTCCTTAACAATCTTTTCCAGAATCTTGCCTGGTATTGACGTGAGGCTGACCGGACGGTAGTTGTTTGGGTCATCCTTTTTTCCCTTCTTGAAGATTGGGACCACATTGGCCCTCCTCCAATCTGCTGGAACTTCTCCTGTTCTCCAAGAACTCTCAAAGATGGTTGCCAATGGTTCCGAAATGACTTCCGCTAGTTCCTTCAATACTCCTGGGTGTAGTTGATTTTCTTCATTAGTAAATGTTGCCTTCTTGACCCCACTACTGCTTAGCCAACATGTGCCCCAATTTTCATCTGTGAAATGTTGTAGGGTATACTTCAAAGATAATCAGATCTCATCTGATCTTGGAAGTTCATTTGGGTCTGTCCTGGTTAGGACTTGGATGGAATTCAAGTACCAGCAATGAATATTAGATGCTGTGGTCTATATTTCAAAAGAACTATGGATATTTTCTGCCTAAGAAAATTCTTTGGGATCCATGGAATTATTAGACAGCCCAACAAAAATGGTTCTTGGTGTCTTGGTTTTCTGACCTGTTCCTGGAGTTATTTCGGGCACTGATTCAGAAAATTCAATTGAATATACCACGTCAGCTCTAGTTTCTCAGATATGGTTATCATGATTTTCTATGGACAGGCAGATAGCAACTGATAGATGGCATTTATTACAGCATGTATCTCACAAACTAGAGCTGACAGGGGGAAACTGGTGCCATTTTTGGAATCAGCAGGTCAAACAGACCCAAAACAGGGCTAACATTTGAAGCATCGATATATGTGTTAGCCAGAGACATGAAAGCACATACACATCAGGCCTGGGGTAAAAGAAACATCCTGCTATTGTTTCTCTTTTTCCTCTTCCTCTTCATTTATACGGTGCTCTTTCCCAGAGTAATGGGATTCAGGGTAATTTTCAAATTATTATATAAATTAAAATGCATATAGAAACAGGCAACAATATACATAAACATTCTTCTAAAATACAGATGAGCAGAATTATGGAAAAATCATTCAGACAGAAGATATGCATCAACAAGACAGCACATTCTTACAATCCCACTGCAGTTAATTTCTGAAAGCTGATTGGAACAGAAACGTTTTCACTTACAGGTTGAACAGGTTGCAGGGAGCCATCTTAGCATTATCTTAGCTGCCAACATCTGAGAGTAGCCGCTGCGAGAGCCCTCTCCCTTATTCCCACCAAATGTGCCAGGGAAGGTGGTGGGATTGAAAGAAAAGCTTCTCCCAAAGATCTTAGAGTTCAGGTAGGATGGTCCATGAATAGTCTTCTGGCAGTCTTGCTCCAAATCATATAGGACTATAGAGGTAATCACCAACACTTTAAATTGTGCTGGAGATAACCTATAAAGTCCTACACAACTTGGGCAGCCAGTGGACCTGGAAATGGATGGGCTGGTGGTGGAGCTGTTGCAACCAGGGAGTTGTGTGCTTCCAATGGCCAGCCCAGTTAATAATTGAACTATGTTGCATTTCATTTTTGAATAAGGTTTTTGTCAGTGAGGAACTGGGACCCCCAGATAGATTTGTGGGACACCAAAACGATCTCTAATGAACATGCACGTCCTGTGGGTTGTACTTTGTCTAGTCCTGTTCTATGTAATCTCTCCAGATAATTCTGCTTCTTCTCATAGCACTCATGGATTTTTAAGGGCAGATTACTCATTTCCAAGATTACTTACAGCTGCCTCATCTTCTGTTCAGTTCCACGTGCTGTTCTCTACCGTGTCTACTGGAGGATGTCCTGCCAGCTTGTATGCTGATCAAAACAAGGGCATCTGCTTTTCCATCCAATCATTCTCTCCTGCTACATTTCATTGATTAATTTGGACTAGTAGAGATCAGCCTGTGGGATCGTCACCATATTCACTGGGTCCATTGATGTACCAAGGCTGACACCTCTGTCTGTTTGGAAGCTGCCTCAGTGAAATGAAAATAGACACAGCATTTATTTTCAACAGGTATTGTTGGAAGGATGAAATCACTGATTTCCTCTGAGCAATCTCTCTTCTCTGCCCTTGTCAGTTTAGTTCTTTTCAATGAAGCACCTTTAGCCATATCGTGGGCTAATGTTCCAAATAACATTATCCTGCATTTTATTTCCTATACCCTAACTCATAGGTTTAGGTGACCTAACTGTAGCTTAGGCAGATTCTAGGCATGCCACACAGTGCTTGTTTGGACCACTACCTGCCCAAAGTTTCAAGTGTTCATTTGAAGAAGTAAAAAGGCTCTAGTCCTTGTAGAAGCTGAGACAGGAAGCAAAATATGAAGGGCAACGCAGGTCAGAATTAATGAAGGGAAGACGTATGCAAGACAGCGGAGCGAGAGACACAGTTGTGAAAGGTTAGCAGTGAAGTAATTTAACTCAGGTAGGACAGGATAAAGGTGAAGTAATGTAAGAGTTAAATGCTAAATGATAACGGCTTATGAAGAAGGTAAACGGGATAGAAATGTTACCTCTCCCCGACTCTGACGCAGCTGCGTCTCTTAACTCACTGCACTGTGTTGCACATGTGTTCCGTTCATTAATTCAGACCCGTGTTGCGCAACCTGTGTAGGATCCCAGCCATCATACTTTTTCCCAGTTGGATTTTCTGAATGTGAGATTAAGAACATGCAATGTCTTTCACTGTGTGAAGTATTCCCAGCAAAGTGTATTCTTTGTTGTAGGGAGAGGAAGTTCAGGTGTAATTTAACTGGATAGTATCTTTTCACATTCCTGTTTGTTATGTTTAGCAGCTATAGAAAGAAATCCTCAGTGGCGCAGTGGGTTAAACCGCTGAGTTGCTGAACTTGCTGACCAAAAGGTCAGCGGTTCGAATCTGGGGAGCAGGGTGAGCTCCCACTGTCAGGCCCAACTTCTGCCAATCTAGCAGTTCGAAAACATACAAATGTGAGTAGATCAATAGGTACTGCCTCTGCGGGAAGTGATGTTCCATGCAATTATGCTGACCACATAACTTTGGAGGTGTCTACGGACAACACAAGCTCTTCAGCTTAGAAATGAAGATGAGTACCAGCCTGAATTCTACATTCGTTTGTGGTTTCAGTGTACAAATCAGGGTGAACATAATAACAATTTCTTTTATAATAAGAATAACTTGTGGAACAATGTGAGTTTATTTATATGATCTTACTTTTCTTAAAAGATACCTCCATGGCAGCAATTTACTCGGGTATTCACCTGAAACTGAAAAGTCCAAAGACATCTTGGGAGGACAAGCTTAAGTTGGCTCAGTTTGCGTGGATTTCTCATCAGTGTTTTCTTCCTAACAAAGAACAAGTAAAGTATTTTCCTAAGTATTTTTTCCTATATGGTTTCCCTTCCATCATACCCTTCTACCCAAGTTTTGCCCTAAAAATAACAATAGTATTCCACAAAAACACCAGAGTGCATAGTTGTGGGGCATTTTAGAGTAGGAAGTAATCTGTCACTTTCTGGTTTGAAATCAGACCGTAGTAGGGCTAGTGGGAGCTTAAAACTGTCTATACTGCTCTTCAAAAACTAGAATGAGGAGCATTCTTGTGTACCAAAAGTTCTTGGACTTTTTTGGAGTGTGAATATGGAACTTTGCGGAAAAAGCCTCAGTGAAGTTTCGCTTTATTCACTATTATGCACTTAGAATAACTGTTCCTCCCCAGACATCTGCATACCGTTTTTAATGTGCCTCTGGTCTAAACAGTCCATAGAGAAAGCTCTATTTGGCTTGAGCAATAGAAATGCATTCTGTGCCTGCAGGTTTCGTTTCTCTCTCCCATCTTCCCTCACACCTGTTCATAAAAGATTTCAAATTGTTGTCATTAATCCGTCTATTCATCTTTTGGGAACACAGGTCTTACTAGATTGGGTGAGTCACACCTTGGTTTCATTTTACAACAAGAAACTTGAATTGCCAGATGAAATTACTGAGAAGCTTTGGGTGTACTTGGACAGCATTATTCATAGCAGAAAACTGCAGGGCCTTTTCAAGGATGGAAAAACCATAACTCTCCGTTTCTCAATTGCACAGGTAACTTGGTGTTTGATATGTGAGTATTACTGGGACCATTTCATCCTCTGACCCTATCATAACTAAATCTACCTCTCCTCACTCATTTTCCCTTCCGTGGTCGTGATTTTCAAACAGAGAAGACATAATTTCTTAGATAATCCCAGGGCCCTTCCACACAGCTATATAACCCGGAGTATCAAGACAGAAAATCCCACAACATCTGCTTTGAACTGGGTTATTTGAATCTACACTTCCATATATTCCAGTTCAAAGCAGAAAATGTGGGATTTTATTCAGCTGTGTGGAAGAAGCCTCATTCCTGTCTGCCATGTTCTTTTATGACCCTGCAGATGTGCACACTGTTGTTTTTTGTGAAGCCTCATGAATTATATGGGCTCCTAACCCTTTCTCTGATCGCCTGGTGTAGAATATCTTTCCCTGAGAAGTCTGATTGGCACCAGCACATTATTTTTTGTTAAGTACTCCTGCCATTTAGAGACATTTGTGGTGGCAGCCATGTCCTGGTTCAAAGCCAGAATGAAATGTCTTTGCACACCAACAGAAGTAGAGCAAAGAAGGGGCCCTTCCAGGCTCCCACCAGAAGAAGCCAGACATTCTTGTGTCTTGTGTTTTATTTATTATATAGGGATTTATCAGTCTTAACCAACACTTTGAATTTTGACTGATAGCAAGTAGAGGTGTTGCAACAAGGGATTACTGAGCTCCCTTTAAAGGGTTCTAGACAACACTCTGGTTGTATCATCTTGAACCTTGCTGAAGTTACCCAACACTTTCCAAAGGCAGCCCCACTTAGACTCATTTTCAGTAATCTAAATAAGATATAATCAAGGTATGTGCCACTTTGGCTTTAATTCTATTGGTTTGACCTTGAAGGAACTGGGGGTGGTGACAGCCGACAGGGAGCTCTGGCGTGGGTTGATCCATGAGGTCACAAAAAGTCGGAAATGACTGAACGAATAAACAACAACAACATTGTAAAGATCTCCCTCTTCCCCCATGTGTCAGTGACTAGCACCACATTTGCACTCATTGGCTAAAATTATTTCTTTGCTGTGAACTTGCCTGCTTTGAATAACATTGGTTTCGAATAAGGGTGTCAAACTCATTTTTATTGAGAGCCACATCAGGGTTATGGTTTTTTTTTTCAAAGGGCCATTGAATCCATGGATGGAGAATCCGTGGATACAGGTTGGTGCTCTTTAGTTTTTACCCAGTTTGGACCCCCAAATGTTATTGAATGACAACTGACATCACTTTTGATTATCCACCATGCAGATGAGATTATGGGAATTGCAACCCAACAGCACTTGTGACTCTGAGGTTGGGGAACAGTTAAAGGGCATTTTAAAGTCAGACATAATATTCACAGGCCTTGTATCTAAATTCAAACCCCACTTTCCTGACTAAACAGAACAAACAGCAGCCCTCCAGATGTATCACAACTCCCATCAGCTCTAGTCATCACACCTAATGATGAGGAATAAAAGAGTTGTAGAGCATCATCTGGAGGGCTACATAAAATTTCAGATTTGGGTTTGACACATGTGGTTTAGAATATACTTTCTAGCTACAATGTTGATTAACTTTCTTTTGTTTTTTTCTTTAATTTGCAGGTTATTAATGAAAGTCTTTCTACTTTTTACACTCAAAAAAAGCTGAAGAACCTTAGCATATTGCTAAGCTGTTGTAGTGGCATCCTTTCCTCACCTCCTCTCGCAATAGTTTATACTACAAAATTTGAGCTATTGGTGGATCTTCTGTGTAAGTTGTCCCACATAGCATGTCAGCAGTTTTTATCAGAAGACATTGTGTCCTCCCAACTGTTTGAAGTCCTTCAGTTGACATTTGGGCAGTATCTTCTGGTCCAGAAGCAGCAGGCCAATGCAAATCGTGTATTTGGACAAGTGACAAAACGCCTGCTCCAACCATGTTTGCTCCTCAGACATTTGCTCACAACTGGGGTGCAGTCGCAGACAAATGACGATGGCCATACACAGCAACATCTGAGTAGAGAGATCCGGAACCACATAGAAGCCTTGCTACGAGTTGCTGTTTTTACACCAGAGCTTCTGCAGTCCTACACAGAAGAGTTGGCACCAGAGAAGGACTCTCATAAAATCAAGAAAGGGAGTATGAAACATCTGCTGTTGCCAGTCAATACAATCCAGTCTGTGTTAGGGGATCCGAATATTTGTCAACCAGCAATTCATGGGAAAATGGTTGCAAATTCAGTGCCTTTTCTTTTTAAGCTCTTTTTAGAATCTTATAACAAAACTGAGAACCATCTTCTCTGTTTTCATATGCTCACTAAACTTTTCCAGTGCCTGAAGATTTCCCATCTGCAAGGAGATCTTTGGAACAATGCACTTTCTTCAGCAGAATGGAGCTCAGATCTCCTTGCCATGGAACAGCTTCTACATTTGGTGCTAAGCAGCGGCATCTATAATGTTGCCGCTGACAGGATTCGACACAAGGAACTCCAGTTCCATTTTTACCAACAATTGGCACAGTTACTGGTGAATCATCCACAGGGTGCCATTCCTGCCTGGTTTAGGTGCCTCAATGCTTTGATCTCTTTAAATCATTTGATCTTGGAACCTGATTTGGATGACTTACTGGCCTCGGCTTGGATTGATGCGGAGGTCTCTGAGCCACGTACAAAAAAGGCCCAGGAGTCTCTCGTTGGTGCTCTTTTCCACTCTTACACCAAGTTGCGGCAGTTCCCAAAACTCTTTGAAGAGGTCCTCGGTGTGGTGTGCCGTCCAGCTGCTGAAGAATTAAGGCTTCCGATTCTGCCTGCCGGCATCAAGAACAAGTTGTGTGAGTGCCTGCAGGATCTACCACCCAGTCAAATACTGGATGTCATGTCTCTCATACTGGAGAAGTGTCGTACTGTCATTATTCCTGATCTCAGAGGTGATTCTGATTTGGCCTTGAAGCTTCATTCTATGAGCACACTTCTGCATTCTGTTCTTTTCCATATGACGAGCTTGGATGATTCCACTCCATTACCTATTGTGCGTCGGGCTCAGAGTTTGTTGGAGACAGTTCAGGTGGAGGTCTTCCAGGTTTTGTTCAATCTGCTCAAGAATGTCCATACAGAAAAAGCAGAACTGGAAGTTTGGGCAGAGAAAGTTGGTGACTCATTGCTTCTCCTTGCTTGCACCTGGGTAGCAACTGATACACTTTTTGGGTTGAATTGCAGACATTATATTTCTCCCCTTGCCAAAGCAAATGTTACCCTTGCTGATTCCACTGTAGATGTCTTGGATTTTTCAACCATTCTTCCTGGGTTGGATGTAAAGTCTTGGAAGAAGATAACCAAACTTCTGAGTTGTGTCTACTCCACAAGTAGATATTGCACAGAATGGCTGATGCTCCAAAAAATGAAGAACATACTGCTGCACACTACCTATAACATTGAGCCATCACACGAGATTTTGCAGCATGCTAGTGCTTTCATCCTGGAGTCTGGAAAATCTTTCTTCAATGGAGAGGAGGCTGAGCCCTGGGATGGCAGTGCAGGCTCCATAACAAGTCTCTCTTATCCTGCTGCACACTGGCACCTTGTAGTTTCAAATCTTCCAGTTCTGTTTCCCTACCTTTCTTTGAGCAACACACAGTATGTTGCAGGTATGCTTCTGAAGACTTTGTTAGTGAACAAAATGCAGACATCATCAGATGATGACAGTTTCTTCATCACAGTTGAGAAAGTGTCCAAAGACTTGCTATGCAGTTCTCTTCTTCCAGAAATGTGTGTGCTGCACTCATCTTTCTTCAGCCAGATCATTCAGCATTCTGCTGGAGTGCTCTTGCCTGTAGGACAAAGTATTGTCAACCAGCCTCTTCAACAGCTGTCTGCAGAAAATATTCCCTGGTGTGATAGCACAGGGCCTAGTGATGACCCTTCTGTGTGCTGGGCAGCAATGGAGAAAGTTGCTCAGAATATACTATCGCTAGTAAAGAACAGATCTTTCATTACTTTGGAAGAAGACCACATTGAAAAGCTTTTGGATTTACTAGAGATAATTGCAGCATTGCATTTAGATAGTCTTTCCCCTCTGGACCACACGCGGTGCTTCCTTTTGTTGATCTCCTTGGCTGTCAATACTAGAGCAGCTTGCAGTGAAACTTTGTCTTTGAAGTTCTTGATAACCTGCTTCCATCTCCTAGCACAGTTGCAGACCAGCAGAAATGCAAACTCATCCTTTAAGGTTTTCTATGTTAGTGATGTCCTTGAAGCTGTCCTGACCTCTATGTTTGTAGCCTGTGAGACTTTTTCCAGCATATTTAAGACCAGTGCATGGGATGACTTTCTTCACAGTATCCAAACCTTTTTGGAATACTATCTTCAGCTCATGTTTGAAAGAAGGCAAAGTGTGAAACTAAACCTGGAAAAGTTCATGTCATTCCTAGCAACTTGCCAGCCATATGCAACCAACAAAAAACACTCCAAATGTTGGAGTCCTGCAGCTGACCAGCTTCTTCTAGTGGCCCTGACTGCTCAGTGTCATACTCTAACTTTATACCTCCAGCAGCAGCATGGGAAGCCCCAGGTGTTGGAAACACGGCTAAATTTGCTTGAACAAGCAGTACAGAAGGCAGGGGCCACCATTGAGTTCTGCCTTCGAAACAGCCCCAGAGGCCAACCTTTGCCTGTTACATTCATACCATGCATTACGACCCTTCTGAAAGCGGATTCCTGTTATGTTCATTTGGTAGGCCTTGTGTCTGGGGAGAGTGAGCCAGAAAGTCCAATGAAGCCAGACAAAGCACAGAAGCTTTCGCATAGTGAACTGTACAAACAGTTTTATGTACAAATATTAAAAGAACTTGATTTGGCAAGTGGCAATATCCAATTCCTTCACTCTTCACTTCAATTCTTAACTGTTTTCTGCTCCATGCCAGAGATGTATTCTGCACAAGTTACTCCTGTTGCTGTATTTCACTCTATCAGAAAATTACTAATGGGTAAGTAATTTTAATATCTTGTAATCCTTCATTCCTGGGTTAGATATAGAACTGTGGTGGCACATCTAATAAATTACAGCAAGTAGTGGCTAGTAGTGATTTATATCAACATAGGTGATTACTGCATATTGATGGTTGGTTGGATAGTTAGATGGTTTCCATTAGCAGATCCTAATGATTTGTCTTCTATAGGAGAGGTCCAAGTAACTTTTTATATGACTGATCTTCCTCAAAAACCAACATGTCCTATCACACTCAGCAAACTATGTCACTTAATGCTAAAACTCAGAGAAATCTGGAAATACTTGAACTTGCCTTTTCTAAAGCAAAGTCAGGTGCTGTCCTTATGGTACTGAGGCAACGGTGAATAAATATGTGTTTTCAGCTTTCAAATGAAATTGTGTCTTGAAATGTGCTAAAGTTGTTCAATAGAAAGGTAGTTGTAGCTCTTCAGTAAGGTTAACATTTAGTGTTTGCCCTCTTTCTTTCTATATAATGTCCCCCAAAATAGATATTTTCTGTCTCTTTTCTCTTTTGCCAACTATTATTATTATTAACTTTATTTATACCCCGCTAACATCTCCCGAAGGACTCAGTGCAGCTTACAAAGGTCAAGGCCCTCTATAAAACAATAGCATAACAAATGCAACAATAAAACTCATAAAGCAAAACAATAAACATTAAAGCAATAACAATAAAACATTAAAACAATAACACCAAGACGCATTTAAAACTAAATGCCGGGCCAAATGTAATGAATAAAATTTAAAAGTGCTGGACATGAAAGGTGCAATGTAAAGGATTTTAGAGGTAAGTGCGATGTACAGACAATCTTAAATCTCTAATAAAGTGCATTTGGGACATGATGCTAGAAGTTTCCTATTCTGGAAAGGCACACTGGAACAGCCAGGTCTTCAAGCTCTTCCTAAAGACTGCCAATGTTGGGGCTTGTCTGATGTCCTTGGGGAGAGAGTTCCAGAGTTGGGGGGCTACCACAGAGAAGGCCCTGTCCCTCGTCCCCACCAAACGCGCTTGCGACGCAGGTGGGATCGTGAGCAGGGCCTCTCCAGATGATCGGAGGGATCATGTGAGTTCATATACGGAGATGAATATTGAAGTCCCTTTTTCCTTGTCACAAGGAAATTAAGCTACTATAACTAATGAAAGTAATTATTGGCCCATTTTACTAAAATAAAGTTAGCTGCAAAATTTTAATTTTGTTGTTAAGACAGCCAGCTTTTACAACCCTTAAGAATTTCTTGGTGTTTTTAAAAAATAACTGGTAGCTATGGACCACAGCAGTTCTCGGATGATTTCTCACATCATCTCCTGAATTATGAAAATATTGATAATAATATACATTATATTTTGCTCTATCTCCCTGAGGGGACTCAGAGAAGATTGCAGAACATATATGTGGCAAACATTCAATGCTGTTATACAATTAACAAGACAGACAGTACATAAACAGAGGTAAAGGCTTCCCATCTTTTTCCATCTCCTGCATCTGGAGGCTGTGCTCAGCTCTGGCCATGGAGAGGTGCTGTTGTTCTATTTTCCATGCTGAGGAGATTGTTGTCTGTGGACACCTTCATGAACAAATTTCTGGCATGTCTTCATGGGTGCCTTTTTACTTCCCCGCCAAAGCGGTACCTGTTGATCTACTGACATTACTGTTTTCGAATTGCTAGGTAAGAAAGCTAGGACTGATGGCGGGAGCTCACCCCGACCTGAGGCTTGAACTGCCAACCTTCCAATTGGCAAGATTTTCTGCAGCTGGCAGTTTAACCCGCTGTGCTAATCACTTTCCTCTCACTGTTGAGCCTGTAGAATATTTCTTTCAATTCCTCTTTCTACCTTCTTCTTTGATAGAACAGAAAAGTAAGTGAAATAAAACTGATATTTTAGAAAAGACAAAATAGAACTTGCAAAGTGTAGGTGTTTCCAACTTTACTGTACCCACCACACTGTATAAGATTGCAGTAGTACTAGTTAAGGATAATTGTCTGGAGATTTAAAAATCAATTACATATCGCAGGACAAATGGAACCATACATTCATTTCCCATATATTAGGGTTCTGAAATGAATTAGGCTTCTGTTTTAAAAGCAGGTCCTTATGTTGTTTGGTGGAAACTTCTCCCTTATTTTTCTATGCCACCCTCTACCTCTCTTTCTGTGTATGTGTGTAAGATATGAAAACATGTAAGTACATCAGTGAAGTATTTTAAGGTAGGTAGCCCCCCTGCTTTGCTAATATGTGTTTGAAAAGCTTTGAGGTTTATACATACATTTTCCTCTTAAAATGATTCAGTATCCAAACAAAATTAAGTCCTCAAATTCTTCAGTGTGATTGTTGCCTAGAATTCCTGGGATTTGAATGATTTGAATGATTTAAACATTTCTAGTAACAGTTTTTCTTAAATAATTACAGGTCCTGGAGTCCAGTTTATTCAAGATCTAGAAGTCCAGCTGACAGAACTGATGACCCAGTTGATGGAGAAGTGTACCACTGACGACTTTTGTACTGTCTTGAGGCTCTTGCTTGAAGATCTAGATGTCAGCAACATTTGGAAACAAAATTCTGAAGTAGGAGGATTTATATTATTTAACTTACATTACAAACTTCTATGAATTGGTGATGCTTCTCTACTCTGTGCTGCTGTCTATGCTGCCATCTTTTTTTCCGCTTGCTCCAAGTCACAACCTGTAGCCTTGAGTTTTATGTATGTGGATGTATTAGATTGATTTCTGTTGCATTACAGTAACCCAGCTTTGTTCAACCCAGTGCTTTAATGTTGTATTGATAGCAACTCCCAACATCTACAAAAATAAAGTTGGTTCAGATTCAGAATTCTTACTTGGAGGCAATGATCATCATCATGATTATCTGTGGAGTGGAATCACAGAATATATAACATTCAATAAGCTGTTTGTGTTAGATTCTTTAGTTGTATATATGCAGCAAAAGTAAGCAGAAATAATTGCACACATTTTGTATAGCAGCACAACTCTGTGTGTCTAGAAATAGCAACCATCCTTAAATAACTTTTGTCTCAGAGATTTTTACAACACTTAGGTTTGGCTAATGTTGCTTATGATTTTAGTTTTATTTATTTATTTATTTAGAAGTTTTCTATACCGGCCTTCTCACCTCGACGAGGGACTCAGGTTGGTTTACAGCATATATAAAATACAATCATATAAAGAACAACAAGTGCAAAGTCATTACATATTAAAATAGTATAATACAGTACAATAAAACATCATCATTACAATTACCTAAGCCAAATCGTCAATCCAGTCATAGTCATAGTCATACTCGTAGTCACAGTTCATCATAATTCATCACAGGGGGAGATTCTAGGTTCAGTCCTCAAATGCCACATTCCAGAGCCAGGTCTTTAGTGATTTCCTGAACGTTAGGAGGGAGGGAGCAGATCTGACCTCTAGTGGGAGGGAATTCCAAAGCTGGGGAGCCACCACCAAGAAGGCCCTGACCCTTGTCCCCACCAACCGTGATTGCGAGGGTAATGGGACTGAGAGCAGGGCCCCCCAGAAGATCTTAATAGCCTTGATGGTTCATAGGGGAGAATTCGTTCGGACAGGTAAACTGGGCCAGAGTCGTTTAGGGCTTTATAGGTCAGAACCAGCACTTTGAATTGTGCTCAGAAGCTAATCGGCAGCCAGTGGAGCTGGCGTAACAGAGGGGTCATATGGTCTCTGTACCCCGCCCCTGTTAGCAATCTGGCTGCCGCACGTTGGACTAATTGAAGCTTCCGGGCAGTCTTCAGAGGCAACCCCACGTAGAGAGCGTTGCAGTAGTCTAAACGGGATGTAACCAGAGCGTGGACTACCGTGGCCAAGTCAGACTTCCCAAGGTACGGGCGCAGCTGGCGCACAAGTTTTAATTGTGCAAAAGCTCCGCTGACCACCGCCGAGACCTGGGGTTCCAGGCTCAGCGATGAGTCCAGGATCACTCCCAAGCTGCGGACCTGCGCCTTCAGGGGGAGTGCAACCCCGTCAAGCACAGGCTGTAACCCTATGCCCTGTTCGACCTTTCGACTGACCAGGAGTACCTCTGTCTTGTCTGGATTTAGTTTCAATCTGTTGTCCCTCATCCAGTCCGTTACAGCGGCCAAGCACCGGTTCAGGACCTGAACAGCCTCCTTAGTTGGTCTTCACTTCCCCTGTTTCATGAACATGTTGATCACCATCTTGTCCTCTTCATATATCTTGCAGGCAGTATTGGCAGCTGTCACTCTAACCAAAGTGCTGCTCGGTTGCCCTTTAAGTGGAGAGAAAGAGAAAGCATTCTGGTTTTCCAGTCCTCAAATAATCACAGCTTTAGTTGTAAGTATGTCAACAAATCAGAACTGAGAAACTAGTGAAAGGAAACATTTGGAAAACATGTTTCTCTCATCAGCAACAAAGTGAATAACTGCATGTGTTGCCCTCATGGAAAACCCTATTCCAAGGCCTAGGCCTGTGTGTTTCTAGAAAGGCTGTTTTATTGTGAGATTATTGCAGGACTTTGTCAGTGGAGAAAACATCTTTTGTTGTACTTCTTTCCTCCACCTATCACAGTTGCAAGCCAAAGAAGCACCTCAGGATGCAGCACTGCTTCCCACCCTCATTGTGCCTGTGTTAGAGACAGTAGCCATCCTCCTGAGGCGAGGAGAAGGGATGCTCTCCAACCCACATCATGTTACCCTGGTGTTCAGCATTCTTCTAACTGTTCCTCTTGATCAAAGGGATTATGGCAGCATCTTTCTTGGGATTCATGAAGTACTTTTTTCCATACTTCAGTGCCATCCCAAGGTAATGATTGAATAACTATCTTGTTTTGTTTTGATTTTTCTCATAAGATGTAATGATCCTCAAGTAATTTCTGTGGCTCTGAGCAGATTTAATATGAGTTCAGCCAGGCCTTCACATTTGCAGGGTTGATTGTTTATAGCTATTTTCTCTCTAGGAATCTGTAGGTCAGGGGTCCTCAAACTTTTTAAGCAGAGGGTCGCTTCATGGTCTCTCAACTGTTGCGGGGGGATTATAGTTTGAAAAAAAATGAATTAATTCTTATGTTCACTGCACATATTATTTGTAGTGCAATTTTTTTTTGAAAAAAATACAATATTTAAAATGAAGGACAGTTTTAACCAAACAATTAATCAGCATTTCAATGGGAACCGTCGGCCTGCTTTTGGCTGATGAGAAAGTCAAGTTAATTAGGTTGGGTTTTTTTTGCTTTCAAATAATTTCAGACATAGGTCGACCCAAATTCTAAAGTTTAGGATGGGGGCCTGGGAAATGACCTTTTAGGGCTGCATCCATCCTGTGGGTCTTACTTTGGGGAGCCCTGCTCTAGGTCCTCTGAGGTAACTCTTATCGTCAAATTCAGTTTTTAGCTGATCATAACTCAACATAAACATTGATTGAAGTTCCCATTAAAATGATATAAGGAAGTAGTAAATCCATTAATTGAATTTGTGAAAGTTTAATCTGCAAAATGGTGGTGGGGAGGATGACTGTACTTCATCCACATCCCCTTCCCCACTGTTGGTTGCATTCAGTCGCTAAGCCCTTTGCATTCTTATGGGGCTGTTTCAGAGATTCCCACCCTTAGAGTGTTTATCCCTAAAGAGTTCTTGTGTCTCTATGTTTGTAAATACATTTCAGGATTCTGTTTGTTTGGTGATAACTTCTCTGTTATGTATGAGTGCTTTTATTTTGGCAATATATAATAATAGACAGTACCTGTGTATAATGCCACAAAGCTATATTTTATTGTGGCTTTCTAAAAATCCAAGTCCTGAGGCTAGTGTAACTTGGCCTTCACTTTTTATGCACACACACACAGAGGCATGATATGTAAACCACTACATTTATAATGACAGTTTGTAGTATGTTAACAAATATGTTTTAACTATATCCTACAGAATGTCATTTCTCCCTTTGCTGCAGAGTTTTGCTTCATTGTTTTTCAGGTGATGCTAAAAGCAGCTCCATCTTTCTTAAACAGTTTCCATAGACTGGTAGTTTCAGTTATGCATGAAGGAAGACAGAAAGGAAACAAAGGTGAGATGTTTCATTATTTTTGAATTTCATCTTGTATTATGGTCTTGTCCTGTATATAAAACATAAACCTTGCTGAGTTGAACGAAGATTCATGTAATCCTGATTCCTGTTTTCCACAGTGGGCTGACAATATTTATGAGATGCCTATGATCATTATTTTTCTTTTTCTTAATGATCAAGTGTAATATTCCCTTTGCATTTTCTGTCTTGAATTTTCTTTGCTTTTCTTTTAAAGTGTTGATGATCCTTCCTCCAATTTTCACACTTCCTTGAAGTTAAGATGATTAAACTGAGGCTGTTGTGTTTTAGACATATTTTAATAGGAAAGACAATGGTGCTTGCCCAGTTAAAAATAGTTGAAAAAGATCAAAATGGTATTACAGGTAAAAAGACTTAAGACGCTGTGGTCCTGTGTGTGCAAGGCCTGAGCACAGATGGTGACGGAGTCTCTCATAGGCCCACATGAGTCAAAGTCAACTTGATGGCAGTTAAAAACAGCAATATATAGCCAACATCTCAGCTGGTGGATGATCTTACCTTCCATAATGTTGTATTTCCCCCCCCCCCCTTAAAGCTGTCAAAGATGGCTGTTGCTACATCTTCTGGTTGCAGATTCCATACTTTGAGTATGTACTGTTTAAAACAATACTAAATCTCTTCTTCAGCTTTCATTTGGTGAACCTGTGCTTCATAATGTGAGAGAGGTAATCTCTCCCTTTATACTTTACTCACAGGTGGTATTTTACACATTGCTGTTGTGTTCTTGCCCTTGGATATTTTTTATTGTGTTGTTGAAGGCTTTCATGGCTGGAATCATTGGGTTGCTGTGAGTTTTCCAGGCTGCATGCCAATGTTCCAGAAGCATTCCCTCCTGACATTTTGCTCACATCTATGGCAGGCATCCTTAGAAGTTGTGACCTCACAACCTCTGAGGATGCCTGCCATAGATGTGGATGAAACATTGGGAGAGAATGCTTCTGGATATGGCCATGAAGCCCAGAAAACTCACGGCAATCCACTTTTTTATTGTTTCTGATAAGGAAAAAAAACATTTTTGTCTAATTACTATTAAAGAGTTATCTGATACACTTAGTGAATCAGCTAGTCGTTGAAATGAAACAAGCAATCCAGAGGCTAAAGCCCAGAAAGGACCTTACTTGTGAGGTCCATCAACTTTGCTTCAATGAGATACCTCTTCATTTAGCTGATTCGATTTTTTCAGCCAAGGATCATGTCCGCAAACATGGTTTAAATCGAGAATACGAATCTTCAAAAAAGAGGAAAGTCATCCCATGGTATCAACATTTAGACCAATTGCATTAATTCATCAGGATGTTACACTCCTAGCATACATCCTGGCAATTAGGATCAATAGCTTCAGAACAAATTATGTTGAACTGAATCAGGTGGATTTTCTGCCAAATTGTAAACTTGTCTGATGCCATTCACCTAATATATATGGGTGTGTGTGTGTTTGATATAACACCCTGCTGAGGACTTCAATAGCTCTTCTATTCCTAGATGCATTGAAAACTCTGACAATTGGAGGCATCTATTTTATCTATTGCGGGCAATGGACTTTGAAGAGAATTTCATAAAAATAGAAAAGAGTGTTTTTTATACAATTCATGATCTATTTAAAAACTAAAAACAATCAACAAATTCTGGAATTTAGATCTGTTGACAGTCACTTGTTTCCACCTCTATAAATTGTTTCCTTCATATCTAGGTTAGCAACTAGGGAGAAACATTGTATGATCTAAACTAAAAGATTAGCCTCCTGCATCTATACTTGCCTAATCAATTCTGTTTACAGTCATGAAGAGAAAGGGGCATTAGGTGATTTTCTCCTCGTGTAAGTCTAAAGAGAAAGTGAGTTGAAAACCATTCATCAACGTGATATTATTCCTGTCAAAAGGCAAATATATGTCTCCAAAGTGTTGTGGGGCACCATCAGAATATACAGACATTGTAGCCCGATTGACACTTATTTTGGCTTTCTACCCTAAAGCAGATTGAATCAGCCACCAGCCAGAGAGTGAAATAGTGCCTGAGTCTTTTGTTGTTATTGATTTACTCTGTAGAAAATAACAATTTAAAATAAAGAAGCATAATCTTTCTTTTAAAAAAAAATCATAGTGACTTATACTGAAATCACTAAATGCTGAAAAGTGGAGGCAGTATCTTTGGATGTCTGAGGGAAAAGTATCTGGCATTTGTGGCTCTTAGTGAAACTGACAGCATGAGAAAATATAAGGGACAAATAAGCCAGCACTCTTTTATTGTTAAATTGTATCCATTTGCTGATTTTGTTAATACAGCATCACAAACAGTGAGACTGTTCGCATCCCATCTTAAGCTATGGTTGAATGTTCTTACACCAGACTGTCATACTAGAAGTGTTGATTCATTAACAGCTCACTCGGTAAACATTTAGCTAAGTGAGTTTTCCGGGCTGTTTGGCCATGTTCTAGAAGCATTCTCTCCTGACATTTTGCCCACATCTATGCCAGGCCTCTCAGAGGTTGTGAGGACTGTTAGAAACTAGGCAAGTGAGGTTTATATATCTGCGGAATGTCCAGGATGGGAGAAATAACTCTTTGTCTGCTTAAGGCAGGTGTGAATGTTGTAATTGGCCACCTTGATTAGCATTGAATGGCCTTGCAGCTTCAAAGACTGGCTGCTACCAGCCTGGGGAAATCCTTTGTTGTTAGCTGGCCTTAGAATAATAGAATCATAGAATCAAAGAGTTGGAAGAGACCTCATGGGCCATCCAGTCCAACCCCCTGCCAAGAAGCAGGAATATTGCATTCAAATCACCCCTGACAGATGGCCACCCAGCTTCTGTTTAAAAGCTTCCAAAGAAGGAGCCTCCGCCACACTCTGGGGCAGAGAGTTCCACTGCTGAATGGCTCTCACAGTCAGGAAGTTCTTCCTCATGTTCAGATGGAATCTCCTCTCTTGTAGTTTGAAGCCATTGTTCCGCGTCCTAGTCTGCAAGGAAGCAGAAAACAAGTTTGCTCCCTCCTCCCTGTGGCTTCCTCTCACATATTTATACATGATTGTTTCATGTCTGTAATTCCCTTGTTTTTTGAGTGTTGCTCTTTATTTACTGTCCTGATTTTAGAGTTATTTAATACTGGTAGCCAGATTTTGTTCATTTTCATGGTTTCCTCCTTTCTGTTGAAATTGTCCACATGCTTGTGGATTTCAACAGCAACCCAGTGATTCCGGCCATGAAAGTCTCGGACAATACATTTAACCAAGTGCTCACTCTTTCAAAGTTTCAAACACTACTTAGTTTTCTAGCTGGACTGTGTCTTGATTTATTTGTATTTCCATGTCTGTTTTCTTTGTGTATCCTTTGTTCTTCTATTTGCAAATGTAAATAAAATGTAAAAAAAAATCACTTTTAAAATTATTTTCAAAGGGATCACAGATGAATCTGAAGTGATACTGAAATGTGCCCACCTAGTGGAGAGGATGTATACTTATATTGCTGCAAAAACAGAAGAATTCACTGTGTTGTCTCCCTTCATTGTGGCCCAGTATGTCATGGAACTGCAGAAGGTAATGGTCAGCTATTTGTCTGAAAGCCCTGATGCACGAGAGAAGGTCAGCTGATTGTTTATTATATCACAAACACCTCAGAGAAAAACCAAAAAGATTCTGAAACATGAAAAGATGCCTCTGACAGTTAAGATTCATATTCTTGCCTTTTCCCCCAAAATGCTCAGTTGCTCTGTTTTAGGGGAAGAGATGCAGTTGAAATGTTGGAATCCTTCCTACTCTGAAGTACGGATTCACTAAAATCAGTAGGGATATCTTTTTCCAGATATCTTGAACAAACTATTGTTTGATTCCAGGGAAAGTGCTTTAGTATTGCGCACTCTCCTTTCTTCATGTACTCAGATTCCTGCCATTGTTTACTATAACCACAGTATGTTGTGGTTATTGCCAAGTTTTCTTGAGCTCAAATATCTAATTCGTTTATGATGCAAGCAGCAATGTTTAGCACATTAAGTTGCTCTTGTACTGCTATTTGCACTAATGTTACTAAAAGACATAGCAGAAGGAAACTGAAAAATACCTTTGATTATTTTGGTCCTTTTTCTTTTGGCCTTATCCCTGATTTGAGTTTGGGAGAAAAGGAAATAGGCACGTGGGTTTTTCAGAATCCCTTCTCTTCCTTTCCCAATTATTTCTTTGTCCCCATCCACTTCTTAAGATTATTCGATCATGTGTGAATCTCAACGAAAGATCCAGGTTTAAGAGATTAAGAATTCAGTTTCCTGGAATAGATAAAGAGACTTTATGCTATCTCCAATGTAGGATGGCCATCTTGATGCAGAAACCTTTAGATCTGGGTTCCATAAACTTTTTAAGCTGAGCACTGGTTCATGGTTCCTCAGATTGTTGGGAGGATGGACTATAGTTTGGAAAACTGTAGTGGGATAGATTGCTCTGTTTAAATGGCTTAAGGGCTGCTACAAAGAGGAGGGTTCAAGTGTGTTCTTTCCTGCCTCAAAGGGGAGGGCCAGAATTAATGATATTGTTGACAATAAGAGCACTTTGGCAATGAAATCAACTTCCAACAGTAGCAGTTCCCAACCTTTGGTCCTCCAGGTTTCTTGGACTTCAGCTCAAGAATTCCTGACGATTGGTCAAGCTGGCTGGGGCTTCTGGGAATAGAAATCCCAACCACTTGGAGAGATGGTGGCATCTCTTTCACTAGATGTCTTCAAAAAGTCTAGACAGACACTGCCTGGGGATGCTGCACCTGGAAATCTTGCATTGAACTGGGGATTATACTGGATAGCCCATGAGACCCCTTCCAACTCTGTTATTCTGTGATCCATTCTTTACCAGGATAGTAGAGAAAATGTGGCCTTCCAGATGTTATTGAATGACATCACCAATCATTCTTTACTATTGACTGTGGTTACTCAGCCTGATGTCAGTTATTGTCGGTGGTACAATGGGTTAAACTCTTGTGCTGGCAGGACTGCTGACTGACAGGTCAGTGGTTTGAATCAGGGGAGAGTGGGTTGAGCTCCCTCTGTCAGGTCCAGCACCATATGCGGGGACATGAGAGAAGCCTCCCATAAGGATGGTAAAACATCAAACATCCGGGCATCCTCTGGGCAACGTCCTTGCAGACAGCCAATTTTCTCACACCAGAAGCGACTTTTTCAAGTTGCTCCTGACACAAAAAAAATCCAATAACATCTGAAGGACTGCACTTGGTCCACCAGCATTGATGAAGTGGAGAACTTCGGGGTCTCCAGGGATTTTGATGTACAACTCCCATTAGTCATATCCAGCATTTCATTTTATTTATTGCATCAGGAGCGAACCAGAACAGTTGTATTGCATTAAAAACAAACAAACAGACAAACAAAACACAAAGTTTGCAGACTTGGTATTCTATTGTCCTTTGACCAGTAGCTGGCCACTTGGAGTGCCTCTGGTATTGCTGCAAGAAGGTCCTCCATTGTGCATGTGACAGGGCTCAGGTTGCATTGCAGTAGGTGGTCTGTGGTTTGCTCTTCTCCACACTCACATGTCACGGATTCCACTTTGTAGCCCCATTTTGTAAAGCTGGCTCTGCATCTCGTGGTGCCAGAGCGCAGTCTGTTCAGCGCCTTCCAAGTCGCCCAGTTTTCTGTGTGCCCAGGAGGGAGTCTCTCATTTGAGGTTCTGGGATTGAGCCTGCCACTTTTGGACTCTTGCTTGCTGAGGTGTTCCAGCGAGTGTCCCTGTAGATCTTAGAAAACTATTTTTTGATTTAAGGCGTTGGCGTGCTGGCTGATACTCAAACAAGGGGTGGGCCGGAGATGTCACTGCTTTGGTCCTTTCACTGTTGGTTGCTACTCCCTGACGGATGTCAGGTGATGCAATACCGACTAAACAGTGTAATTTCTCCAGTGGTGTAGGGCGCAGACACCCCGTGATAATGCAGCATGTCTCATTAAGAGCCACATCCATTGTTTTAGTGTGGTGAGATGTGTTCCACACTGGGCATGCATACTCAGCAGCAGAGTAGCAAAGCACAAGGGCAGATGTCTTCACTGTATCTGGTTGCAATCCCCAGGTTGTGCCAGTCAGCTTTTGTATGATATTCGGCATGGCCAATGGTAATGAGCAGGAGGAATTTTATTCCAAAACATTTGGAAAGCCCTAGGCTAAGAGCTCAGGAGTTCTCTAAGAGATTTCCTATTCATTGCTAAACCTATCCTGATGTTACCATAAAGGTTTTATTAAACTTGCTGATTCCTCCCTTCTGTTTTTTGGTCTCTATCTGCAAAATGTTATTATGAAAATGGCAGTTATTATAGCTCCAGGCTCTAATGAGGGAAAGCTTTTTCTTGAGATAATTCATGAACTTAGTTGCTAGAAATAAATATAGGATGCCTACAAAAATGGACTGCGTTCTTGGGAATAGACATTTTGTAGCTATCTGTGATGGTCCATGCTGAAAGTATTATTCTTTGAAGGCAGCTCACTCTCCAGCACTGTCATAATGATTACAAGTTTGCTTCATTATAAAATAATTTAATGCTTGCCTGAGGAAGCAAGAGGAAAGACTGGATTTTAATGACAGCTTTGAGTTTAATTTCTGTCATTCTAGGAACTCAGGTTTGGCAGTATGAGGCTAAATTGGGCTGAGGGAGACCAGCCTCAGCGGAAAGATGCTGCCAGGACTGACCTTTTACTGCAGAGATTGTGTCAGTTATAGGCGAGGCTGGAAGAAACAGCCAGGGCTCAGTTGGGGAAGGCTTGTTTCCAGCTCTGCCTTCAGCTTCAAAGATAGGCTTAGATCTGCTGATTTAAGAGGATAATGTATGATGAATGTATGTCTTGCCTGGGGAGCTAAAATTAGAGGGTGGATATAAGTAGCACTTTCACAGTGTGATGCTGTACATATTCAAAAGGAAGCGTCATAGAGTCCTTTGGGTTTTTGTTGTTGTGTACCTCCAAGTCATTTGGGATTATTTGTTTATACTGATTCATACATATTCTGTGGAGTTCTTACATGTATATTAATGTATAGTATGATCCCTGTAACTGTGCCCCCCCCCCCCCCCCGGGATATCTGAAACTAAATAATAACGAATCCAACATTTTGGCTACACTTGGGCCAGAAGCATACCATAGACAAGCACTTAAAGACCTAGAGAGGCCTATAAAGTCTTGGGTATTTTTTGGAGTGTGGGCCAGTGAAACTATAAATGTCAGTCCGTGACTTAATGAATTCTCCTGTGTTTTGATCTACATTTTTATGTTAGTTTCTCTGCTGCTTGTAGTACATGTGTCAATAAACAGACAGACAATTAATTAGGATACAAACTACTGAGCTGATCTTGTTTCAAAAACATTAATTCCAGCACTAAGACACCTGGAGTATTCTGAGGATAAGAGTGTCAGTGGAATATAATAGCCAAGATATAAGCTACCGTATATATTTGAGTTTAAGCCATGTTTTAGCCCTTTTTTAGACTGAAAAAGCCCCCCTCAGCTTATACTTGAGTCAAAGTTATTTACTATTTTACTCTGTTATTATTATTATTATTATTATTATTATTATTATTATTATTACATTTATTATTTTACTCTGTTTATTATTACATTATTAGATTATTAGATTTCCATTATTTTACTCTATTATTTTATTACATTTATCATTTTAATCTCTTTATTATTATTGGAAAGATACGTAAGCACATTTACGTTGAAGAAGGTTAGAAAAATGGTTTAATCAGAGTTGGACAGTCTTATCTTAAATTATAGTTTAATGTAAATATTCAAAAACATGTAACCAAGTGATGCCTCTATTAATGTAATTTTATTGGTATCTGTTTTTATTTTGAAGTTAACCAGTAGCTGCTGTATTTCCCACCCTTAGCTTATACTTGAGTCAATACCTTTTCCCAGTTTTTTGTGGTAAAATTAGGTGCCTCAGCTTTTATTCAGCTTGGCTTATACTCAAGTATATATGGTAATCAAATCTGCTCCATTTATTTGGGGCTGCACTGGAAAAGTATGGGATGGAAGAGTAAAATTGGGGGGGGGGGGGGGAACACATCCACCTTGTTCTGATAGAAGTGTCTGATGGATCAAATAGCCTTCTGTCAATAGAGATCAGTTGTTGGCTCCCAACACCTTGTCTTTAATCCACTGTACCCAATACAGGGTTGCGTTTATTTACTGGTCTACATGTTTCTATCAATTTGCTGTACAACTTCAGAAACTTAAAGATAGACTTTTCGAAAAAGCATGTGTAATATTTAGGGAATATAAGTGACAATGACGCACAAAGAGAAGGGTTTGTGTTGGCCAGCTGGCATTCTGGTGTTCCTTAGATCCTTGCCTATCTCATGCAAACATGTTTGATGTGGATAATTTGTACTGTTGGTTTTTTTCCAGGTTTAGAATTTGGATTACTTTGATACAGAATTTTACATTTAAAAAATCTCCCACGCATGGGTGTCTGAAAAGCTTTTAAATAACTACTGCATATTTCAAATACGTTCAGTCATTGATATTCCACTCTTATTGGGTTTCAAAAAATCTAGGTTGTCTTATGACAATTTTAAGACATTTTACATTAAGGATAGTTAAAACTAATGGACAATAAAACACACTCCCATAAAGCTGTATTTTGTTCTAATGTTGAGAGAATAGACATTTTCATTTAGTCTTAACAAAATTAAGGGTGTTATTTTTGTACTGTCAGTGATATTCCCTCATGTATTGCAGGTGGGATAATAATAAGCCAATATCTGTGCTCAGCACTTTTAAATAAAGAGAAGCAAGCTTTAATAAGTCATTTGTATTCCCCCCAGGTGACTCTGCACCCAGCGGTAAAGAAACATCTAACGGAGGGAATTTATCACATCCTTGATCTTTGCCTTGAGCGTGATATCAAGTTTTTAAATGCAACTTTACCTGCAGGAGTGAGAGAAGTTTTGAAGGAGCTGTATCGAGACTACAATCATTATCACAAATCTCTAAAGCAAGGGGATGAAAAGTACACAGCATGAGTGTCTGTACTGCTTTGCCATCTCACTGTGGATTATCAGAATGACAAACATTTGCGGTTTGTGAGGGCTCTTTGTAACTTTGGGTATTTAAGCGAGATCTGGAATCCAGAGACCATCTACAACTAAACTGGCACATGGGGAACTGTGGCAAACCCATGCCCTTTGCAAGTGTGTACGTGAAGGCTTGGCTTGCTTTTTGAAAAGGAAATACTGTTGAAATGTGTGCAAATGTGAAGGGTAGGTGCCAGTTCTGTAGAGACAAAGCCCACTTGCTATTTTTAGGCTATGTTTGGCTGGACACTGCTTCTGGCGACCACTTTTGGGAGTCATGGAAATCCTCCTTTATGCCAGTAAAGTAAGAGTGAGCCATAATCTTCATGTAAGTCTTCTCTTGTGGCAAATAATAACCTTTAATACTAAACAGTGGAAGAAAAACTTGCCATTTGGAAACAACATAAAACTTCTGCAGGTGGAACATCTATCTTCTCTCCCTATAAATTAGGCATGGGCAAACTTCACCCTTCCAGGTGTTTTGGACTTCACCTCCCACAACTCCTATCAGCCGGTAGGATGGAAGACTTTCTACAAGTCTTACTAAGTGGGGATTTCTCTGTTGACTCCACGTTTTGATTGGAGCAGCTCATGGGTTTTTTCCTCATTTGTTGTATTATTCATCCAATAAATTAGGAAGAAGCATGGGTCCTGAGGCTGTTAGGAATTGTGGGAGTTGAAGTCCAAAACACCTGGAGGGAGGGCTTAAGTTTGCCCAGGCCTGGTTTAGACTTATGTTTGTGTAACTCACTAAAAGACTATCAGATTTTTCTTTTTATATATTTATACTGTGGGGAAAAATATTTGTATTGCACTTGTGCAAAATTGTCAATTAATTACTAAAGACAATCTTTTTGTAAAAAAAATGAGCTTGTGTTTCTTCTTTCTTCTTTCTGATTTTCTTCTCAAAATAAATAATGGATAATTTTCTGACTGCGATAAAATCTTTTTGAAGCCCATTTGAAATTCAGAACGCATTCTGTGCAAAATTCACATTCTACAGCAAACAACACTTTCTGCATAGGAAACAGCTTTTTCTACACAGAATATGAATATATATATATATATAATTTTTCTGCACCAAAAAGTAACAACCTGATCATTATTATCAGTTCGGGATACTTCTTAATAGGTTTGTTAAACACTGAAACATCTGTGATACTTCTCTTTTTAGTTCCGAGATGCCTTCATTTTCCAACGTTTTGGACAAAAGGGAGGATTTCTGGATTTATAGACCCTAACACCATGTGGTCTCAGCAGATAACACCATAATCCACGGCAGTTGCTGAAAACAGTTTTTTAAGCTGACGTCTTGAGTGCAGCTCAGCTTCATAGCAACTAAAGAAAGTGCCAAAATGTTTTGATCATTGCGTTGTCGAAAGCTTTCATGGCCAGAATCACTGGGTTGCTGTGAGATTTCTGGGCTGTATGGCCATGTTCCAGAAGCATTCTCTCCTGATGTTTTGCCTACATCGATGGTAGGTTGTGAGGTCTGTTGGAAACTAGGCAAGTGTTTTTTATATAGTTGTGCAATGTCCAGGGTGGGAGAAAGAAATCTTGTCTGCTTGAGGCAAGTGTGAATGTTGTAATTGGCCGGCTTGATTAGCATTGAATGGCCTTGCAACTTCAGAGCCTGGTTGCTTCCTGCCTGGGGAAATCCTTTGTTGGGAGGTGTTAGCTGGCACTGATTGTTTCCTGTCTGGAATTGCAGCCAGGCTTTGAACCTCACCTGCCTAGTTTCCAACAGACCTCACAACTGAGGATGCCAGCCATAGATGTGGGTGAAACATCAGGAGAGAATGCATCTGGAACATGACCATACAGCCCAGAAAACTCACAGCAACCCAGTTTTGATCATTGTTTTGTTCTTGTTTACTTCAATAAACTTATTTTTGGAAATTCATTACATTTTTATTAGATATTGCTTAAATACATTTATTAAATGTATTAAAATTCAGCTCATTAACAAATAAAATTGCTCACTCATATTTGATTAAAGTGCTACCTTTTGTTTTGTGATGCTTCCCTTTCATTAGGTTTAATGAACTGTCAACAGTGTATCAAGATCAATATTGATATGTCCCTGCCATGACGTCCCTCTCATTTATGAAGCCTGGAGCAATTACTTTTGCATCTCCCACATGCTTTAAAAGTCCCTGTTATTTAGGTCTTCTAAACATAACAGATCAAACAGAAATATTGCTCAAGTGCACAGATGGAATTTAAAGAAGATAGGGGAAGGGAAAGACCTAGACTTTAAAGCCTCCAAATCAAAGCCCAACCTAGAGATAAATGTATTCACTCAGCATAGTTTTAAAACAATATATTCTTTTTAAAACTTCCATTAATGACAGCCCAGATCTATCCCTGCCAGCCAATACCCCAAATAGAAATTTAATTATAACAATATATCAAATAGAACGATGTATGCACATTATCATATCATCTGTAAAGAATTTTAAATTATGTGTGTGTGTCTATACAGAGGAAGATTGGGAGTTCTGTTTCTATAATATATTACAATGCCATATATCCTTTTTATGTTGGAGATTCATTTTCAACATTCGGCTCTACCTTAAAATACAGTGTGCATACACATACAGACCCAGAGAAAAATTGAGGAAGAGGGTGGGAATAAGTTGTTTGATTTGCTCATTCTGTTGAAACCTTTTCCCATTCCCTTTCAACCAGGATGATTCAGCTGACAACAGCAAGGCTGCAGAGCATGGAACTCTTAAGTGTACTCCCCCTCCACTTGGGATGCACCTACACTATAGAATTAATGCAGTTTGATACCACTCTAACTGTTCTGGTTCAAGGCTATGGAATCATGGGAGTTGTAGTTTTGCAAAGTCTTTAGCCTTCTCTGCCAAGGAGCATTAACACCTCGCCAAACTACACATGCCAGCATTCAGCATTCGTAGTAAATGTGGTGTCAAACTGCATTAATTCTACAATGTAGATGCACTCTGAAAAAAAAAGCAAAATAAAAAAGAGAAAGAAGAGAGAGCAGCAGAGAGTGACTCTGCTTCCAGGCCTGGTGATTTATTAAATGTTGGATGTGATGGATGGTACCTCAAGTGTGTGAGGCAAAAATCTGGGGGCGGGGGGGGGGGGGGGGATAACTGAATAACATGACAGCCTATGTTCACAGCCAGGGAAAAAAACTACACCTATTTTTGGAAGAAATGTCATGACTAACATCTGCAGTAGTTGCCATCATTCTCTCGATGGTCTATGAACTATATGGCTTCACTTACAGACACACAAAATACTCATAAAGGTACAGATAAAAGTTTTCCCTTGGCATTAAGTCCAGTCGTGTCCGACTCGGGGTTGGTGCTCATCCCTATTTCTAAGCCAAAGAGCCAGCGTTGTCCGTAGACATCTCCAAGGTCATGTGGCCAGCATGACTTCATGGAGCACTGTTACCTTCCCGCAGGAGCGGTACCTATTGATCGACTCACATTTGCATGTTTTCGAACTGCTAGGTTGGCAGAAGCTGGGGCTAACAGCGGGAGCTTACGCCTCTCTCCGGATTCAAACCTGTGACCTTTCGGTCAGCAAGTTCAACAGTTCAGCGCTTTAACTCACTGCGCCACCGGGGGCTCCAAAATACCTGGGGGGCTTCCATATTCTCCACCACTGAACCTAGTAGGAGATTTCCCGCCAACCTCCTGGCTGCCCACTTCCCGGCCTAGCACCATTGCTGCCAATATTCTTGCAACAAGTCAACTCATGAGTAAGCTGCTTTTCTTATTGCCTTCTTGGCAGGATGGGCCCAAATGTGTACTACTTGCCAACTCATTTCTCAGTCGCTTCTGGCAAGACACATTATAGAATCATGGAGTTGAAAGAGTCAAAAAGGGTCAAAGCAGTTAACCTTTTGTGTGTCTGCTTCAGGAGCAGAGACATAGGATCCAATTTCCTTCAACCTTTCATCCTTGAGTTAGGAAAGAATTACTAGTCTTAAAGTATACTGTAAGTGCCATTGGACTGGTTGTTTTCATTTTTATGGTCAATGAACCTGTCTTGTGTATGTGTATCTGTGTCTCTGAGCCTTTAAGTTACCCGTTGACTTATGCTAACTCCTTAAATTTCATAGGTTTTTCTTGGACAAGAAATACGCAGTGGTGGCATTGCCAACTTCTTCCTCTGAAAGGTAGATGACAGCACCTGATATTTTGTTGGTGCCTTCTCCCACCCAAGTACGGCTGTGCATCCTCTCAATCCAACAGCAATAGAAGAGTTTTCTCGCAAGAGGGAGCCATTGTCAAAAGCCTATTGACTGGCCATGAAGATACGGTGTGAAATTAGATTCCAGAAAGAGCACAAACTCCTTGTGTGACAGCACGAGGTTGACAGAAATAACTCAGTCTCGTGAGAATCCCCTCCCTCTTTTTGCCATTAACATTTTAATCAAAAGAGAATTGAAGTATTTGAGAACAGAAGACGGAGGAGGAATGGGTGGATGAACTCTGAAAGGGGACTCTCATATACATTAGGGGAAAGTCTGACATAAAATAGCTCAAGGCTGGTGCTTGGCTTTTGTTTGGTTTTGGCCAATATCCAAATCAAAGTGGTGACAGCCATGTGAGTCTACATTTCCCAGCATTTATTTTATTTTTGCTTAGAGTTGTTTGTGTCTGTGGCCAAGCTACTCTATAAAGGATGATGATGGCTTCTCAGATTCTGATGAAAAAGTGGTGACGGATGACTAGCAGTGATGAGGCTGTGATCTGAAGAGTCCCTGGTTGAAGCCTGGCTTCTGCCTCAAGCCTATATCAATCATCTTAGCTCCAATTTAGAATCACATAAGTGGATAATATTTGTAAATGTTTGAATCATTTTTGTCCTGCTTTTCCCCCTACGGGCACTTAAAACAACTATGAAAAAATAGATGACAATGACAATGATATTAATATTTATTTCTTACCGGCCTTTCCCTGCAGATGGAGGTGGTGAACAACAACAAATAGCACTAGACATCAAATAAGTTAAAGGAGCACATAAAAGCAATATATATTAAAATACATTAATAACATTGCTTATGGAATATGTTGTTGCATGTTTCCTTTTTAAAAGGTGAGTGGGACAAGTACTTTTTCTGCTTCAGGTACACCTGCGGGAAGAGGTTTGCAAGCAAGCTTTCAGGTGGGGTGTGCAATTGTCTCACCATTTTTGGGTTCTTGCCTTTCATCAATAATGAGCAGAAACTGGAGGAAAACAAAGCTGTTTGACTGAGGGAAGATATAAATGGGTAAGCTGGCAGATGGATAAAAGACAATGACGACCAGAGTAGGAAAGGACAATGACAATGCTGGATGGATTATGGATTTATGAATTGACGAATGTTGGCCACAAGATGATTTTATTGCTGCTATTGTTTTAATTTGACTGTTTTAATTAGTTATACCTGTTTTCGTTATATTGTAATTTGTATATTGTATTTTGTGAATTGTTGGGCATTGAATTGTGCCTTTTGTAAGCTGCCCTGAGTCCCCCCCCCCCCCAGGGGGTTAAGAAGGGCAGGGTAGAAGCACTCCAAATAAATAAATATAAATAGCAAAAATCAGTGATAACATCACTCAATAAGGAAATACAAAGATTTTAGGCTCATTTGAGCCACCCCGAGTCTCTTCGGGGAGATGGTTGCGGGGTATAAATAAGTATTTTTATATTATTTGACTGAAGCAGCTAATGTTGTTTCATGAGATGCACGGTTACAGTCGATTGAGAATGACCAGTACTTAATCTTACCGTATTTCCTCTCTAATAGTTGTCTGGGGTGGTGATGGTGGTGGTGGTGGAGAATAGGATGAATTAGAGCAAGCTACTTGTTTGCCTGTTGCATTTGTCTCTGAAAGATGTCACTTTAAGATTGTCTTCAACAGGGTTTGATGACTGTATGGGAGCCAATTTCCTTAAGA